CCACTGGGTTATCTAGGTTAGAGTTGCCAGTTTAAATATTTAGGACATACTTATACTAAAATAAAATTACTTGGTGTTTATCTGAAATTCAANTTAAAAAGACAAAAAATTAAAATAACAGTATTATACCGCTTTAACCCATTTTCCTTACTCTCCTCATGAATTTGCAGCCATTTTCATTATATATTTCCTGTATATAGCTATATCATTATATAATAATAATAATTGTGCATGTTCCATATCCTATTTTTATACAGCATTTTTCAAATTTTGTTATACACCTTCTCTACGTTCCTATAGCAACCTCATAATTATCTTTAGTGGCTACATAATACTCACCATGTTGGAATACTGGCTATCATAAAACCATTCACATAGTATCACCAATTTTTCATAATAGATATCATTGCAATAAAAAGGTTTATGTAGACCTATCTATTACTCATCTGTTATTTGCTCTCTGAAATAAAATGGACTAAGTCAGCCATCTGCAGAAATCATTGGACTAAAAGGTGACTTGAAAACGTGTTTCAAATGAAATCCAAGGTATCGCTTAAATTGCATCAAGTGAACTAAAATGTACCTCATGTAAGGTCAGCTATTATCTAATTATAAAATGGCAAAATTGTGGTTGTCAAAAGAGAAGAGTGTGGTTTTTATGGACTTTAACAGGCGGAAGAACCGGTGATACAACCCAGTCATAGTTGGTTCTGCACTATGAAAGAAAATATTCTCTAACTGTCCCAAGGATTTAAGGAGCTAGTCTATGAAGAAATAGACATGACTCTCTAGGGTCTATTAGAGCCTAGGATAAGTATATTAAAGAGCTACTCAAAATCCTGCTCAAACTGGTGTTCGTCAAACAGCATATTGGTAACTCTTTTCCTCCTACTTTCTACCTCTTCATATCTTTACCATAGCTACTCTGTGTTGGGGCGTTACCAAGAGCCAGGCACCATGCAATATACTTTTGGGGCATTATTTACCTCCTGCAAGTCTCTTCACAGCTCTCCCCATGTGGTAGGTACTATTATTTTCCATGCCTCACAGGTAAAAGTGTGAGATTTTGAGAGGCTAAGCCACTTGCTCAATGTCTCACAGCTACTATGTGGAGAAGCCAGAAGGCAAACCCAGTCTGTTTGTCTTTAAAAGCCAAGACCATAACCATTATATTCCATTACCCAATTTCCTGACAGACTCCCAGAGTATGACCTAGAGAGCCGACATAAACATTCTCATCTTTTGCAAGGCATAACTCCCCTTAACCCTCACCTCTAGTTACGTTTGAAAGCACTGAACCATTAGTTTCAAAATCCATCACTTCTTAATTCTTACATTAGCTTCCCTGGTGTTTGCCCCAATGTGCATCATGATACTGAAAAAGATGAACCCCCAACTGGAGGATGAAACATTGAACTCAAGGTGAATCTCCTCCCAAAGCATTCATGCAACACTCATAGGTCAATTGTTATAGGTCAAACTGGGGAACCAGCTATGGTCTGCACACAGGTTTTGTTTGGGCCACACTGTGCTGTGCTGTATTAGAAGTTGCTCACTTCTGTCACTTGACAAGGCTAGGTATAAGTGATTTCCTTCATTGTCTACGGAAGTTTGTCTCTCCCGGTCCTGGTTTCCAAGTTTCCTGACCATGCCACAGGGCAACCAAATGAACACACTGAGCAAACTGTACATAAGGCTTACTGTCTTTCCATAAGAATAGATAGAGTTGAGTGTCACCTAGCTTGGAGACACTATGATTTGTACCTGTCAACCTTTCATTTTAAAACCTAAGTTCATTTTAAAACCAGGTTCAAGGCGAAAGACCTGACTTTAGAAATTACTCCAGGAAATAGTCACTTGGCTCCTGTTTTTACATAAGGATAAATCTCTCTATTCATTTGAAATCTGAGCAGTACAGCTTAACCACACTGACAATCTTGGGAAACTGGTTTGGGCTTCCTGAAACAAAAATATACCACAATCCAATTTATTCACATTAAAGGTCACCTGTCAACTCCCAGTAATGATATTTATTTTTCTTAATAATTTCTTTTATGCTCTGTCCTTCAAATCCCACTTCCTTTTCAAAGAAGTTGGCTTGTCAGATTTTTATGAAGGGCAAATACACGTATATGTTCTAAAATGATAGACTAAGGACAACACTGTGTTATTTATCATCACCATGAACCACATATGTGTTATCTTCTGGGTCCATGTGAACTACATGCTGTAGTCCAAGAATTCAGCCTCGCATTCACTTGTTTTTTGGATTATAGTTAATTTTGAGGCAATCAAGATCTCACTAGAGTAGTTGCTGCTATTTACCATAAATTCATTAATTCATTTAGCAAGTATGTATTAAGTGTATATACTGCATACCCAGCATGCAGAAGCAAGTGTCACGTGATTAAGTTACCCACTTTCCCTAACCCCATTGGCCAGAACAAAGATGTGTCTCTTTCTAATTGCAAGGGACACTGGGATATGTAGTCTTTATTTGGGGCAGCCACATTCCTACCTAAAAATTCTGCTCATATGGAAGAAAAGAATATGAGATCCTGGTGAAAAATAATCAGACTCCATTGCTGATAGAAAACCACCACTCATAGCATATCCACGTAATTCCTGCTATGGGAGAATGTGCACCCACTATTGATTGCATTCTTTTTTAAAGATAAGGCAAAATTCCAGAGTTTTATGTATGATATCTGAATTTTAAAATGTTGCCTCAACCAAAAACAAACAAACAAAATCCCAGAAATAAAAACTAAAACATTGTGCAGGCCACATAAAACATACCAGCAGACCATTTCCATCACTTGGCAATGCCTGACATAAACTATTAGCAAAGAATGGAGAGGGAGACACCTTCTCAGCTTCTCAACTTGGTTTCCAGTTTTAGAAAATTTCTTAACCATGCAAAATTGTCAGTAGTGCCTGAATAAAAGAGACACGTAAGTAATTTTGACAAATGTGGAATCTGAACCATTCTAAAATATTACATTCTTAGGACAGAACACAGCTTTATTTGTTTGTATTGGAAAAGTTTCCTATTATTCCTCCAAATCTGGTTATTTGTGCCACTGCAAAGCATCCTTTACTTGTGAAAATATAACATTCCTTTCCTATAAGAACTCATTCAATAACCCACTTCAAACAAGCCACCACCAATACTGAGGTGACCAAACTGTGGACCTCGCTGGAACACTAAAAGAGAGAGCACCAACAGGATCCAAACATGGTTGAAACAGGCAGCCTGGCAGTAAAACGTTTTAAACCTTTTGACAAACAGTGCACAGAAGTAGAAATCCAAGTGGCTAACAGACAGCAGCAAATGTTCAGCTTCGTAAGTACTCATAAATGCATTTTAAACCCTCAGTGAACCACCATTATGCACCTGACTCCCAAACTTTTAAAACTCTGACAATACCAAGGTTACAGGAAGATGTAGGGCAATAGGAAGGCTCACCCATTGCTAATGGGAATGTCAACTGGTAAGATCATTTAGGAAGTCTGCATACTTCGTCACCCAGTTATCCTTTCCTAGGTATATCCCTAAAGAAATTTACACAAAAGAATAAGGTTTCTAGGAGCATTGTTCACAATAAAATAAATAGAAGAAACAACCCAAATATTCCATAACAGTAGAAATGATAAAATTGTAGTATAATCATACAATGGAATACCATACAGCAGAGATAATACACTATAGCTTCACACAACATGATGAATCTCACAAATAATAACCAAAGAAGCAAGACCCCAAATAACATATACACCACAATCCCATGTATATAAAGTTCCAAAACAAGTGAAATGAAACGATAGACTCATATATAGGTGATTAAAGTATAGAGCAAAACAAGAAAATATGTACCACAGAGTCAGAGTACCTCTGGGGAAAGAGGATTTGATTG